GTTGAGCATGTGCTGACCAAAATGTTTAATTTTAATGTTCAATATAAATGAATAAAGTAATAAAGTACCTAATCAATGACATTTGATAAATGATAATCGTGGCTGAAACTATTGAAAGTGTCGAGTTAAGAATATAAGGGCCATATAAACTATAAACTTATAAAAAAATATTTATTTGTAATTTCTATGTTGAAGGGAGGGGGGTGTATATATTGTCTTACACCACTAAGTATAACACATTCAAACCGCCTCTGGTTTGTATAATAGTATATAGAATGCCACGCTAGGGTTTACCCATTGCGATATCTCCTGAGATAATAAATACATCATAAATCTGTTTTTTTTCGTTAGACTCACATACAAAAGAGCCACATGCATTTTATTTTGTAAATTTTATTAATTTTTTTGGTAAAATTTTTATTTATTTATTTTTTGTCTTTGAAAAAAATTAAGATACCTATTTTATAGAGTTTATTTTACTGAAAATTTTGACCTTTCAACATTTCATTTTTATAAATCACATGATTTTTAAAAAWTTTTGTAGTTTATAGATAAAACGGCAAAAAACTGGTTTTTATCCAGGCAGTGAGTCCCCCTAATCTAACCTCATGGGCCACCTTGTATAACTCCAATAGGTGCTTTAAAATAAATTCAATAATAATGATCCTACAATTTATAGTAGCCAGTAGGTATAGATTATTGAATAAATTAATATATAATACATAGGTACCTATACTAAAAATAATAAGAACATGGTTTGGATTTTGAAGACTACATAATATCATTACTAAACAATGAGCATATATTGTAACTTATAAGTTATAAGAGTAAAAAATACTGTAATTTACAATCAGCTAGCATAGGTGGATAGGCCTACCGGCAACCGGGCATTTCCCGGTGGGCCCCTCTTAGTATTTCGGTAATGGGGCCCTTTAATATTATATATTATACAATTTTTTTTCATGTGGAGGCCCCTTTTTAAAATTTTCCGGTAGACCAAAAATGGCCTATCCGCCCATGTCAGCTAGGTATTAGTTATACTATGAAGTATGAGCGTTGAACAGTTTGACAGTAGGTACAGTTGAACCAGGGGACAAACTGAGATACAGGCAATACAGAAATTATAAAATTAAGTTGTATAACGCAAAATATTTAAAAAAAAATTATATATATTAATCGTAAATTACCTTTATAACATACAATAAGCCACACATGCCTCTTTTCCCTACTTTTCCTCCAGGCCTTGAACAATCATCACTCACTATTAATTCGGCCACCTAAAATTAAACTCCTGGTTATTTTTGATATGTAAATTAGTTTTTCTTGCTAAATAATCAACAACATATGTATAATTTACATTAATATTGTCGATTTTTTTTGCTTTTTCACAGGCCAATCCAAAATTGAATACGTCACCAGTATAATTCGCCACAATAAGTAAAACTCCTCCATTATCTAGGTACATAACAACATAAAACATTTTTACAATGAAGAATTGAAGAATATTGAAGAAGTCAAAATTAAAATATCATATAAATAAAGAACTAACTGTTGTAATTATTTAAATACTTGATTGCCTGGTAAATATTCAGTGATGAACAACAAGTAAACACATAGCCACTAACAGATGCAGATAACATCCCATCACCAATATATCCTGTAACACAATATAAAATATAAAGAAGTAAGAAAAAATTATAATAAGGCTATAAGTTACATTTAATGACCAGATTTGCATCTAAAAATCACACACATACTATTTGTATCTGTAAAAGGTGATATGAGAAACAACATATCCAWACTTAATATTTATATAACATTACTTAAACTTAAGATTAAGATTTTTCCCTAAAACAAAAATTTTAAAACTTAATATAATGTACCTCTTTTGTATACTTGACTAATTATTTAATATTTATAATTTATAATTAATAATTATTATAGTGTAATATAGGAACCTAACTTGTTATAACATCTTGAGCCTTGACTGTAAACAATGCATATATTAATTGTTCTTAACTTAGATCATTCATTAATTCATTAATTCATTAATTCATCATAAAATTTATTTTTCAAGAAAAGCATTTAAAAATATCTATCTATTTATATTTATATATTGTATATATATATTATACATATATACCTACCATGTAATTCATTATAATTAGACACTCATTATTCAAAAAGTATTGATGTTTGTGAAAATATTTTTTTTTCACAATATTAACTGTTCTGATTTATTACAAAACAGTGTGATAAAAAGAATAATTATATTTTTAATATTTTTTTATGCTTAAATATTTTTACTTTTCTGAACTAAAACATACAGTTATAATATCATCTTCGAAAGTAGACTATTTTTCCCAGTTCTGGGTACTTTTATACATTAAAATCAAATTTAGAACGAGTGGTACATGATTTATAAGTACCAAGTACCTATTTAAAGTTTTAATGAGTAAAGTGGAGTGGTACACGGTAACACTGCAAAATGTTATTGTCCAATGAAATTAGATGTTTAAAAAGAGAAAAATGCTTTTAGTTATTTTATTGTATTTTAGAAATATTACAATATAGACTATCTTTGCTCGGAACCTTTTTAGCATACAATGATTTTATATTTATTTATTCAAATTTAACAAAACTCCACTATAGTGAACCACACAACACTACAACAGCAACACATCTAAAATAATAGTATAAAGCGATAGGTACCACTGGTCTGCCCTTTTTTATTGAAGTGATCAGTAAAGTATTTTATTTATTTTATTTTAAAATAGAAATAAATGTATGGGGAAAAATTATAATAATGGTTTAACTTGTAACCAGGTATAGGTACTAAAAATATTGAATTGGATTTTGGATAAATTGTGTTATTTTATATCATACAAAAATAWATATCAATATCAAAAATAATTGGTGACATTTTAAAACATTTATACCTTATACACCTACTTTATCATGACGGAACGATTAATATTTTTACTATTTATTGTTTAAAATAATATTAAAATATTTTAAAATAACATTATAAATATATATGTAGTTATAATGTATATTGTTTAATTATAACTTTCTAAGAATTATTTAGAATTTAATAAATAGGTATATTGGTACATTGGTTTGTTTTGTAATATATAGTATAATATTATTTTCGGATAGRTTATACTTACCAAATGGATATGGTTCATGTCCAGATCCACCGCCACCAAGTAAACAAACCCGTTTTTCTGATTTCTAAAAATATTTCATATTTTTATTCAATTTGTAAATAAAATATAGTCATAAAGTTATAATATAAATTATAAAGACTAACCAATTTTAATCCAACTATTCTACTCTCTGGATATACATCAAATACGGGATAAGTATAAGCTAATCCGTCAAACATTTCTTTTAGTAAGACTCTGCCATTTTTCAACAGGTATTTTTCATCTGATTTTGAATTTTTACTGGCCATTATAGTATAAGCTATAATTAATTTTGACTGAAAAATACTTTTATATATACATAAATTATATTTGTACTTTAAAAAAATGTACTTATGCTTCCGTAGCAACGTAAGAGTTACAAAACATAAGTAGGAATTACCTAAAAGTAATTATAGTCAAAGTATTAAATAAGTAACTAAATAAATTTTGATATATCTATGAATAAAATATTTGAATACATACAAATGAATAGGTATTATCTTTATGAATAATATACACTTGATGATATATTATAATGCATGCTATATAGTGTTGATTATAAATACAAAATACAAATTGTATTTATAATCAATGATGTTACGTCTCATAARTATGTCACATATCCTATACTTACTTGAAAGTTGGAGTAATATAAATACGTTCACTTATAATTGTATTAAAATGTCAATACTATCACAATACTATACTCTGGTCTCTGAAATAAAAACAAACTATGAACTTGGTATAAAACTTAACCACAATAAAATGTTCAAGAATTGTTCTATTAAAAATTAACGCGTACCTATATTACCTATATAAATATACAGTGATGAGTGTGACCACTGGGATATAATAGGGTAATAGGCACTTACATTATAATATTATTATATTAGTAATTAGTGTATAGTTTAGAATTTTGAATAGCTACTATAGGTAATTATTATTATTATCATTCATTAGTTACCACTTACCTATACCTATTTAATCAGTAACTAATTATAACGACAAAAGAAACTATAATACTGACCTATATAATACATAAACAGGTATATAACAATATAACTAAATGATAAACAAAATATTTTAACGGTTTAGGTTAAGTGATAGCTGAAGTATGAATATTATATTAGAAATTAATAATTATACTAGTAATTAGTATTTCAGTATTTATAATCGATGGTAGTATAGACATTTTTTTTTTATAGATTCACCGACCGCCTTATTAGCCATCAGTGCCACACGCATCACACGTATGAATGTCTTAAGATTTACCGTAGGAATTTAAGACATGTTGACAATTTATTTTATGAAAATGTCAACTTTGGGTATTCGGATTCCTATGCAATAATTTTTCGTTTTTAAAAATATAATAGGTTTAGAATTAGCATAATGCAAAATATGTTACACGCGTCAACRCATGCAGTCCAGCAGGAGTCTACTATGATGCTCATTGCTCAACATGTTGCCCCTCCTACGTCACACTTAATGTCTTTGGGTTATCATTATTTTTTGTTCAGTGTACCTACCTATCTTTTTATAGACAAAACCATGAAATAGGAATTAAAATATTTACTATATTTTATAATAAGTACATAATATGTACATAATCACAACAATTTATATAGGTACTCTATAGTCTACCTCTACAGTTACAGCCTGTAATTCGGTATTGTGAATTGTGATGAACAGTTCCCACCCATTCCTTATTTTTCGAACGAAAAAAAAGGTACTAAATAACATTATAATATATATTGTAATAAAGTATGTAAGTATATATATCTGTAAATAGATAATGTACTTATTTATATTTTGATACCTATGTATTTTACGTATCTATTGTATATTTGTAAATTTTGTATATAATACAGTAATACTATAATTTTTATAACCATATATCCATATATATATATATATACGTACCTACGTCCTACTTGGTTTGGCTGGTTTATGTATAGATCTTTGCTGGATACAATACAATAAATTAAACATATGTTCAATATATTTACCAGTTATGAACGTAGAATATGTCAACTTCAAGTACTGTAA